GCACAATAGAAAACCGAAAAAGACAAAAATAAATTACAAAATAAACATTAAAACAACAAACGATTTGATAATGAAATACTTTTATGACAATCAAAATACAATGAACAAATTAGGATTTAAAACACCGGCATTGTTGACATGATAATTGTCGTTCTTTTGAAAATTTTCTAAAAGCACCCAGTGGAACGAATTCTGACAGTTTTAGTTCAGCACCAGTACCGATGTTCTGTCCAGTCAGCATTCAGTATATGACGTAGTTTATGATTTTTTTACGGTATATAAAAACTCCACAACTTTAATTTTCCTCCACCGTACATTTCGTAAGCATCCTAAGTGGCAGAGGGGTTGACCACATTTATTTTATGACCAGTTGGAAGAATTTATCTTTAGTCTCTTCAGTGTGAACCAAGAACCATGAAACAAATGCAAAATTAGAATTTCATCCATATAAAGTGGAGCATGTTCTCCGGTTTCCTTTTAAGAGCACTTGTTTCAGATTTTGACTTCGTCTAAATAATCATTGAATCTGAATACTTTGACATGAATAAGTTTTATGTGGCAGAAAGGGGTTTCTACAGTAAATGCATTAGCAAAAACCTATAATAAAAAGTTCCCAGACTGCTTATGGCTTTATCTCTTGGGCAAATACATATTGTTACATACCACAATATAGACACTTTTCTCAGCTTTAATTTAAGCCATATTTKATASAAATCAGAAAAGAAATGTGATTTTTGTGACGCGYATCATGCATTGAAACTGTACCGTTTTGTTGAKATGGCGCCTGTGGTGAYGCATCGCTAGCTATAGCGGCTATAGGTGATGTCCARTCCAGTAATACAGATCAATGGACTCTGATGTTAAATGTGAGATGAGTTTTCAATACTTCTTAATACTGTTGAGACTTAAAGTCAAGTTTAGTTGCTGTTTGACGTCTGCTACCTGGTTTTGTTTTGCTGGGGATCCTATTATTCATCCAGATCCAGCAGACAGCCGTCTCTTCAGACTGGTCATCAGATAAAGGCAGTCTGCCTGGCTGACTGATAGTCATGCTCTGCCATGAGAATAATGAGACTAATTTACCCGGCAGATGACCGATAACTCCAGAAACAACCTTTTGTGGAGGAGGGAGGATGCARCGATTTCAGGGGCGACACATTCCCTTTGAAAATATGACCAATATCTCTGCTCGAAGAACAAATATGGAGCTCGTGGTTCGTCTTATCTCCGACTGCAGAGTGGAGATTTTAAAAGCTCATTTCAGTGTTTTGTTCTTATTTTGTTCCCAGAAAGAAAAGATCGTCTGATTTTCAGAAATTAATCATCGTTGGTCGTGACTCCAACAAGTTTAACTTCTGGAATTATTTGTTTTAGGAGAAATAAAAGAAACAGCAACAGAAAAACAGGAAATAGCTCGGTAAATTGAACTCATACTGATTTGAGTCATTCCCAGCACTCCAAACACCAACAGATCATAATGTTTAAAAAGTATGAAGTGTTGGATGACATGTTTTCTTTCAAAGAATTATTTTCCACGTTCCAACATTAAAGGGCAAGTATTATGTGTTTCTCAGGCATATATTTAAATACTATACTATAATAAAGTATCTATATCACCTTTGGCTGTTATTAAAATACTGTTTTAATGTTTAAATAGAAAATAAACTTATCTTCTCATCACTTCCTCTTCTAAACGCCTTGAAATTGGCCTCTGTCTCTTTAAGAACCACCTTCCGTGTCTGTCCCGCCCATTTCAGTGCAGGGACATCGCGATCGCGTGGGGATGGGGGTGGGGGGTTACTTGGCATCTGAAAATACATTTCCTCAAAGGCATTTTTAATCTGAAAAGTACGGAGCCCGCGAGGGGATGCGGGATTTTTTTCTTTAGTGTTCCCACGCAATACCTTTGCATTCCCTCGCAATACTTTTGCGTTACCTCGCAACCTCGCAATACCTTTGCGTTACCTCGCAAGACCTTTGCGTTACCTCGCAAGACCT